CCCCCGGGAGAAGTGGGTCGCCATCGCCATCTGGAAGCTTGCCATTGTCGACAGTTACCAGCCCATGGGCAACCAGTTCGGTGTGGGGAAGTCAACCGCTGGGGCCCTCCTCATGGAGGTATGGCACTCTTGGGCTGCAATCCCATGGGGAGGGGGAAAGGGGGGCTTAGAGGCTTGGGGGTGGGATGGGGGTGGTGGATGGAAGCCCTGTCCCTGGTGGGGGTTCTGTAGTCCCGCCCTCACACAGCCCTGAGGGGGGGAGGGATTCATAGGGGGTGGCTCCTGGGGTGTTTATGCAGGGCAGCAGGGGAGGGCTCAGAGAGCTCTCGAGGGCTCAGGCACCCCCCTTTGATTCTCTGTTTTGTTTCATTGTTTGTCTCTTTCTGCAGGTGGTGAGGGCCATTAACACCGTCCTGCTGCACAGGGTCATCCGCCTGAGTGACCTGGACCCCATTATCACTGGATTTGCCACCCTGGGATTCCCCAGCAGGGCGGGGGGGGGGCTACCACTGATGGAACCCACATCCCCATCCGGTCCCCCCACCACCATGCAGGGAAGTACATAAACTCAAAGGGATACTTTTTTATGGTCCTGCAGTCCCTGGTCAATCAGCACGGCCAGTTTGTAGGATGGTTGGGGAAGACATGTGAATCCCAAGTCTTCTGCAATTCCAGCCTCTACTACTTTCTTCCCCCAGCACAACCTCATGATTGGGGATGTTGAGATGCCACTGTGCATTATGGGGGATTCAACCTAATCCCTCATGCCATGACTTACGAAGCCATACACTGGGCACTCGGACCCCAGCAAGGACCGGTTCAAGGGCCACCTACATGCAGGTCGAATGTACCCTGGGCTGCTTGAAGGCGCATTCAGGTGCCTCTTGCTGCTCCTGGGTGTGGGGGAGCAGGTGAGATCTGCCTGTTGGGTGCTCCACAACACGGCAGAGAGGAAGGGGGAGGCCTTCCTTCCAGTGTGGGGGGCAGAGGCCAGTTGGGAGGGACAGGTCTTTGAACAGCTGTGCACAGCTGCCATCCAGCAGGTCCATCAGGTGGGGGTGTGCATCCTGGAGGCCCTCAGGGAGAGTTTCTCTCAAGGACCCCAGTAACTCTCCTCAGGGCCTAACCACTAGAGGCCTGTGCCTTGCCCCTCTCTACCTTTCTCACATCAACCCCTCCCTTCCCCCCTCCACCCTTCTTCCATACAGTCAAAATTTAAAAAAAAACACTTTTTTTTAAAGAACTGTTTATATATT